AAGAATCAGCTGGGCAAGACTGTGATTCCCTCTTCCCTTGTTCCTGTACTTCCTGAGCTCCTAGTCTTCTCCCCACACACTTCACAAATGACACACTAGCACTATACTGCCTCTCACATGTGGGTGGGGAGAGGGTCTGTGGGGATTACCTAGGGGGTCATCCAAAGGCCTTTTGTCTCCAAAGGCCCCCAGAAATGAGAAAAAATACCTCATATTTATCTAGTGAATTCGAATTCACAAAGCACCTAATTTTATAGTTTCAGTCACTCTGTGTCTCCAGCTTTGACTGCTGGCCACTTCACAGAGGGGAAACTGGAAGCTCTTGGGAACCATCTGTAGGTAACACCAGCCAAACGAAGGCCAGAGTTAACATACAAGTCGAATGCTAGGGTTTCTTAAACTGATCTTGAAGTACTAACACGGCATTCAAGCGCTTCCCAGGGCCTTGTGATTGAAACTGGATTGCTATCAAGAGCAAACTAAACTATTAGATATCAAACCAGTCAGTCCCAAGGCAATAAGGCCCCAAAGAGAAGTCTTCAGAAGGAACTATGCAAGTAGCCCAACAAAGCAGTCATACAGTCAGAAGATTCTATGAGTCTAGACTGCCACCTTCCTTCCTGGTGTTGCCAATTGCCATGGGGCAAATATTTCCACCACGGCCATTGGCTGTTCAGTGCCAATCAATATAGGTACAGCAAAGAGGAGATCCTCCACAAATGAAGGATTCAGGAAACATCTAGGCAAACAGGGATAGTTGGGAGCCCAGCAATAACCTCAATAGGAGATGCCGGGGAGGGGGGGGACTGGAGCAAGTAAGTAAATGCAATGTCGGAGACATAGCTGCTTTGTCCTTACTTAATACTATCTGTCCTATCGTGTTGAATGGAGGGATTTCATGAAAACAGCCTATAGATGGCCCGTCAACAGAGTGAGAGAGAAAAGAGGAACTTCCAGCCTGGTGTGGTAGTTCACACTAGAGTTCCACCATTCAAGATGTTGAGGCAGGAGGATTGCAAAACTCATGCCAATCCTGACTATATAGTGAACTGCAGGCCAGTCTTGGTTACAAAGCGGGACTGTGACTCAAGAGGGGGAAATGTAGTGTTGTAAAATGAACCACCATCTCCCGTCACTGGACACAGGACTCCTGGGCTTCTGAGGTAAGATCCTTAGCATATGGAGCATTCTTCCAGCATGTACTATCCACTGAAGAGCCAGCTCGTGCAAGCCTGGTTTCAAGACCAAGCATCTCCTTCATAGGCTGTCAGCCATTTTTCCTGGATAGAAGGGTGCAGTTGAAGAAAACAACACTTTTACACACTAAAGCTTCCCAGTGGGATTTTGATTTCACTCTGTCATCCTCTCCCTACAATCCAGGCTTTAGCTACTAAGGAAGGAAAAGAAAAAAAAAAGGTAAATGAAAGAATCCATTAGAGTTTGTCAGACCTTCCCTGGAGACCGGATTTTTCAGCAGACAAGCCAGATATCTCATCCTTCAGATTTTGGAGATGTTTCTCATACTCGGATGTCGTCTCTGTGTTCCGCGTGTCTGAGCCCCGTGTCTCTGCGCTCCGTGCATCTCCGGTCCGTTTGCCTGAAATTCCCCGACGTTCAGATTTTGAAGACTCAGTGCGACGATTCTCTGAGTTCTTATGGCGGGCATCTTCCTGGGCTTGAAGAGATTTAAGCCTAACAACAAAGACATTGAAATGGAAATCAGAAAGAAAGGAAGTAAGATGGAAAAAAATGAAATAGTTTTTTTTAAGAGGTAGCAAGGGAATTAGAAAAGAAGAAAGGTGAATGGAAAAGAAGAAAGGAAGGAAGGAAACAGTTGGCACCACCCAGCATACCATCATTGCATAGGGAAATTCCCAGGGAAATATATGTGAAAACCTACAATAAGTAAAGAACAAAACCACAGAGATACAGACTTAACCCACTTCTACAGATGGCAAGGTGGGAAGCTTCCTGAAGAAAGGCTATATTTATGTGGATCCCCTGGGAGCAGTAGAGTATTTCACAATAGGACTCACTTCACTGCACAAAATTCCTAAAGCATTTCACCTTCAAAACGTAATCTGACACTGGTATAACCCCCTACCCTCCTTAGCTCATTTCTTAAACAGACAGAGTATAAAGGAAGACTGTAAGGGCTAGCTGTAGGTATGGACCTCTAAATATAGTGCAGCACTAAAATAAAAATGTTAGAAACAAATTTGACATCTTCATTGAGATCCAAAGAGATGTGACCATTATAAAACAGAAGCAAAAATCCCGAGAACATGTGGTGATGAGATGACAACAGTGGAAGAGGAAAGAAAAGAAGAAGGGCTGATTAGGATGTGCTGAAAGCCAGAAGCACTGAAGGATTTAAAGGTGCTCTAGAAACAGCAGAAGACAACTGGGTAATATCACCCACGAATTCAAGGTGGTGTACCAATCAGGAAGTAAAAGATCAAAATGAGGCAGGGGGAAAAAGAAGTGGAAAACATAACAGCATCTCAAGAAGCCTTAGGAGTGTTCTAGAAGAAATTAACACTAGAACATATATGGAAACTAAATTAAGCTAAAAATATATGTGAAAAGTACTCAAGGGATATGTGTCTTGGTGTGTGCATGTGTGTACATATAAGATGTACTTCCCACTTGCCCCTTTGGAGGAACGAGGTGGGCTTCAAAATGAAGATAAAGGATCTGCGCTCACTGTTTCCCTCTAGAAACAATCATTAGGAACTAATGAGAAGTCTAAATTAAGATTTAACAAAAGTTTATCCCAATGTTGCATCCTCAATTAAAAGTTAATGTCTAAGTTCTCAACATGAAGGAAATTCTAAGACAATTTAAGATGATGAACCTATTTGAAACTAACTTCTGCATTACTTTTTTCTCGGTGACTTAAAAAAAAAAGAATATAAAATGAAAAGGTAGAGTCCAAAACCATACAGACTTCAATCTGTTCTTTGATATTTCAGTATATTAATTGGGAGAAAGAGCAAGTGGTAACAGTAAGTGCCGTAGAATGATGAGAAGGTTTTTAGGTTCCTGAACACTATGCTGCATTTTAGAAATTTCCTGTGGTCAAAAAGAAAGTCTTGTAGTGAGAAAAAGAGACTGAATATTCATAAAAACACTGCTGCACTTTCTCCTCCATGGTGAATTCTCATATTATAATAAATGACTGAAGAGCTAAACTCAGTGATTCAGCAGCAGCTGCAGGAATTCTATAGTTTTTTTTTCTTACTGCTTTTTTAGCTGATTTATCTCCTCCTCTGCAGCCATGAGGGATATGGTTGATCTGTTCTTGCTTCCTTCAAGACTCTTTCCAGTGTCAGCCAGACTGTAAGAGAAATCAGTAACTAAAACCAGATTCTCCCAAATTGGCAGACTTTCCAACTCAAGGTCTAGATTTTCTAGGGAACTCCTGGCCTGAGTGATAAATTCACCATAACCAACATCAGATTCTAAGCCCTCAGACCTTACTGTAGACATTACAATGGACTCAAACAGAAGCATTCTGACATCCCTTGCTTAGTCAAATGCAGAGAGATTACAGAGCTAGTCCCTAAAAAAACTAACATTAGATGGTAATGGATAAAGAAACAGTTCCTCCTGCTCCTTCCTCTCACATCATCTACCCTTTCCATCCAGTCCCCAGGTAGCCTTTCTGTGTAAACTCTTCGTTTTCCACTCTGTAGCAATTCCTATTCTCACTGCTTTTCACTGTGGGGCTTCATTCCTTTTTCTAGTACTTTTTTAATATAAATATAGTCATTTGTCCATTGGGGTTAATTATGGTTACCAACTTGATTCTATTAAGAAACATCTTGGCAAGATACATGTTTGGAAGTATGTCAGAGAAGATTAAGGGAAGAGAGGGAGAATGACCCTTAATGGAGCCAGAAGCATCCCATGGGCTGACTAATGGGGAGAGTGGGAGAGATAGCCACTGAAAGCCAACATTCCCCTGCTTCTACTTCCTGATCCATGAAGACATGAGCAAGCTGCCTCCAATACCTCCATCACTCTTTCCTCTCTGTAATGGATTATATCCCCCTAAACCATGAGCCAATATAAATGTCTTCCCCTAAGTTTCATCTAGTCAGGTATGCTGGTTAGTTTTATGTCAGGTTGACACAAGCCAGAGTCATTTGGGAAGACAGAGCTTCAGTTGAGAAAATACCCCCATCAGATTGGCCTATGGGTTAACCTGTGATGCATTTTGATTGTTGATTGCTCTCTGAGTGCCCAGCTCACTGAGAGAAGTGCCACCGTTAGGCAGAAGCCCTGGGTGGTATAGAAAGAAAGCAGGCTGAGCAAGCTACAGGGAACAAGACAGTAAGCAGCACTCCTGCACAGCCTTTGCATCAGTCCGTATCTTATGGGAACCTGCCATGAGTTCCTGCTCTGACTTCCCTGGATTATGTTCTAGTAAGGTTAAATAAACCCTTTTCATCCCCAAGCTGATTTTGGTAATGATGTTTTATCACAGTAATAGAAACCCTAAGATATCAGGTTTTTAGCCACAGCATTGAGCAGTGTAACTAACACCAAAAACTGGTCCTAAAAAGCAGGATCGGTGCTGTGACTTCCTGGCCAGAAGGCTCATGCAACTAATTTGTGGGAATAATATGGAAGAGTTTGAAGCTTTAGGCTGGAGAAAGCCCTAGAATTCTGTAATCAGAGCTTAATGGTTCTCTGGGAAGTTCCCAAGCACCAGAATGGAGATATGAACAGTGTAAACTGTAGAAGCATGGACAGTACCAGCTCACAAGGTTTCAGACCAACAGAACTTCATTGGGAATTGGAGTAGAAGCCACTCATGTCATTCTGGCAAAGAATCTGGCTGCCTTCTGTCCGTGCCCTGAGGTTGAATTTAAAAACAGTGCATCATTTGTTTGGCAGAGGAAATTTCAGGAAGCATAATATCCAGATTATGGTGTGGCTGTTGCTTCCCACATTTCCCAGATTTACAAGTGAGAGTGAGCAATGGGGCCAAAGACAGGAAAGTGTGCAGTTTACTAAAGAATCATGTGAACCTGGATAAGGCTGCAAACAGAAGTGTGCAGTTTAGTGGGGGAAGAAACTTGGACCCAGTTCAAGATGAAGACCAGACAGGTAGAGAAACTTAAAGAAACTTCGAATATTGCATGAGGTCCATACAAAAGTTGCCTAGAGGACAAGATCTCAGCCAACAAGAGTTCCTCAGTATGTTCATGAAAATTCATTTGAAAGGAGGATGCTTCAAGGTGCAGAAAAATAGCTGAGTAAGAAAGTGCTTTCCTGGGTTCAGCTGAGAAGTCACACAGCTTGTTGCACTATGGTCCAAGGGTGCTGGGCTACTTCTCAAGATGGTGAAAGAACTTTGCATTAGGCATGTGGTACTGATTTTTGTAGACATGTGAGATATAAGAATGACAGAACCATGGAGATAAGATACCAAGGATCCAGAAAAAAAAGTGAAAGCAGGTGATATGTAGCAAGGTTAGTTACAGAGTGCACTGTGCACAAAACTGAAAGTGCAGCTTATGTTGCAGTGAAGACCCCAGGAAAAGGGGGCTACCCCTAAAGCCTAGATAATTCCACAAGAACCCCCAAAGCTACACATGGAGCCCCAGGGTTTGGTTTTGAATTGCAAGATCTGTCTTGCTTTGCTCTGATCTTTCTTTTCTATGCTCCAGTTCATACCTTTAAGGAATGGGTATGTATACTGTGTCACTGTATATTTAAAGTATGGAACTTGCTTTTGTATTTTATATGGGTTGATGGAGTTCCTGGAATCTCAGAGAAGACTCTGAACTTGTGAACAACTCTAGAACTCATAAGACTTTGAGAACTTTTAGAACTAAATGCATTTTGCCCTTTGAGATCAGCCTGAGGCTACAGGTGCAGGATATGATATTATGGTTTAAAGTGGTATGCTTGGGTATCAGGCTGACTCAAGTTGGATTAGTGATGGTTGCTTTTTAAAATTCTCTTTTTATAGTGTATGTACTCATGCATGCCATGGTGCATGTGTGGAGGTCAAAGACAACTTATGAGAGTCATTTTCTGTCCTTCCAGGTAGAAAATTTAGGTCATCAGGCTTGACAGAAAACACTGTTTAACTACTGAACCATCTCAACAGCTGACAGTTGAGTCTGAAATCAACTTGATAGACGCAGAATCACCTAAGGCATCAGTGAGGCACTCTATTAGGATCTTGTCTGTGTAGGGGCTTCCATTGAGGATTAGCTGAGAGAGAAAGATATTCTCTAATGTGGGCAGCAATATCATATACTTCTGGGGAAACTAGGAAAAGGATGAAAGCCAGAACAGCACAGCATCAATATTCCCTTTTCTCTTCTGTAGTCCTCCAGTATGTGAGCAAGCAGCCTCCTGCTGCCACAGGCAGGAGCTGGTCCTGCTACCACAGGTTTCCTGCCATGGTGGACTATATGGCCTGAACCACCCTGCCTCCCTTACATTGCTTTTTGGTAAATATTTGGTCATGGCATTCAGAATAGTCGTTATACACCCATCTCATGGTTTTGTGCCACTGATTTTTAACACTTACTAAGCACAATTTTCCAAATGGCTTAGTCAAAATTGATATCCAGGACCCTCTTAACTTGGATCAAGCCACATCATCTTCCTCTGACTAGAGAATTTAAATTTAGTGAGTGGAGGTGAGATGGACAACACTGGATGAAGACCAGTTGTTCTCAACGGAGCTGGCCTGATACAGGGAGACATCACAGATTCACAAGTCCACATCTGTGGATTGCCTTCTATCTAGGCTGTTTCATCACAGTTATCCTGAGACTAAAGAGTACAAGTCTTTTGGTGAAAAAAATAGACTAAAAACATAGCATTGGGATCCTGTTATGGTTTGAATCTGTAATGTGCCAAGAGCTCAAGTGTGGTAGGCTTGATACCTGGTTGGAAATGCTATTGGGAGCACATGGGACCTGCTTGGAAGATACAGACACAGGAGCATGGCCTTCAAGGGGACACAGACACTGTCCTTTCTTTCTTTGCTGCCCCGACAGAATGAAGTTAGGCATTTTACTTCACTGTGGACCCCCTGCCATGATATTCTGCCTTATCAGTCCCAAAGCGTAGCTGCCCAGAGACTGTGATCTCTGAAACCGGGAGCCAAAACAACCATTTCTCCCTTTGAGTTATGTATCTCAGGTATTTTGTCACAGCACTGGAAATCTGACAGACACAGATATTCACCTACAGAATAAAGCAGACTGGGAAATAACAGTATGAAGAATTCCTACCAACCCCACACAAACCAGGCAAGTTGTCACAACCTACAATGCGAGCCCACCTCCACCTTCCAGCACCACTCTACATGGCACAGACATACCTTCAAGCTCAGCATCTCCTCTTTCACTGAGTGCTAGTCACATTTATCTCACATCCATACCATAAACTACAAACTATATTATTCCTCTTTACCCTCATCACTTAAAGTAGTCAGTGCCTGCCACACAGATCTTTGTAAAAGATGAAATATGAAATGAGTAAATAAGCAAATCGTCTACAGTCTGAAAGAGTGCTGGAATAGAAATGACTTCATATGGCTCTTGCAGGTTGAAAGGAAATTAGCTTATTCTGATGAAATTTGAATCTATTATAGATTTTAAAGGTAAATGTGGGGAAAATGGATTTTTTTATCAAGAGAGAACAGAAGGAAATCAACTGTAGCAAAGAAAATGGGCCAAGAGAAAAAGTGAAGACAGAGATGATGAAGTATTTCCCCTCCTTACATACAGCACAAACGTACATGAACAACTACACACAGGCAAGCACAGTACTAATTTCACACATTTGGATGACACAGAGACTAGATAAGAGCTAGAGATACTTTCTGGAACTAGAACTGTTTTAGTCAGGTAAATACATTTTATGTTAATGTTTTGTGATAGAGTGACTTGATTCTTTGAGCAAATTTCTGATACAGGGTACACAGACTCCATCATCTGGAAGACCACAAATAACAACAGAGTAAGAGTTAAAGAGATACTAAATGAAACTAAGCAAAATGGGGGCATGGCAGCAACTGTCTCTGTGTGAGCATGAAAGCCTCTTGGAAGGAAAACTGGTCAATCAGGGGAGATAAAGTAAATGAGACACATGACATGAGAGGGTGGGTTGGGTGTTGTTGACATTATTCTTATAAATTTCCGTCCTGGAAGCATTTTCCAAAGAAAAAGCTTTTTAAAAAAATGCAGATGCACAATGGTGACACACACCTTTAATGCCAGTTCTGGGGAGGCAGAGGCAGACAGATCTCTGTGAGTTTGAGGCCAGGCTGGTCTACAAAGCTACATAGAGAAACCCTGTCTTGGGGAAAAAAAAAAAAAAAACAAAAAAACGTGCATTCACCAATGTAGTGATTTGAGTAAGACTGACCCCCATTGGCTCATATATTTGAATGCTTAGTCATCAGGAAGTAGCACTACTTAGAAGGATTAGGAGGTGTGGCATTTTGGAGTAAGTGCAGCTTTGGTGGAGAAAATGTGCCATAAGGGCTATTTGGTTTTAAAAGTCCAAGCCAAATCCAGTGTCTTTTTCTTCCTGCTGTCTGCAGATCTGGGTATAGCACTCTCAGCTACTTCTCCAGCAACATGTCTACCTGCATGCTGCCGTGCTTTCTGCCATGATGACAATGAACTAAACCTCCGAAACTGTAAGCAAGCCCCCAATGAAATGCTTTCAGTGATGAGTTGTCACGGTCATGGGCTCTTCAAAGCAAGAGAACACTGGTCAAAACAACCAAGATTCCTGGTCCTTCTCACCCCTTAAGAGTGGTGGGAGACCCATGTAACACACAAAAGGAAAGTAGGAAATCCTGGCCCTATCTGTGCTGGCAGACAACAAAATGCAACAAATTCTCAAAGCTTTACCTTATAACTAGAGAAACCAGAGAGCTATCATTATCTGAAGCAGTTGTCAGGAAACTGAACTGGACAAGCCCTGACTCAGAACCCACAAGCATAAGACACTAGTGCCCATAGGGAACCAAGGCCAGAAAAGACCACAGGACAATGCTAGACCCAAGTGACTCACCTTTGGGATGTCTAAGAATAGAGCAGGGAAGAATCCTAGAGACAAACCAACTCAGAAGGGAAATGGGTCTTGAAATTTAGTAGACACTTTATACAAAGAGTACTGTGATAAACGAGATAAGCCCATCTAACCAAGTAGCAGCAAGTGGAGGGATTAGCTAACATGGGCTGAAACACTTTAAAATCTTTTAGAGGAACTCAGCTTGTGTGTGTGTTCATTTGCCTATGGCAGATGCATAGGTGTGTGTACAAGCACACACAGTGTCTGGAGTAAAGTATGTCAAAATGTTGAACACTGAGCTAACATGATTTTTTTGCGGGGGGTGGGCATTGATTGCAACAGGGTTTCCCTGTGTAACTTTGGAGCCTGTTCTGGAACTAGCTCTTGTAGACCAGGCTGGTCTCCACCTTAGAGAGATCCTCCTGCCTCTGCCTCCAGAGTGCTGGGATTAAAGGCGTGTGTCACCACCACCCCACTCTCCTTGACATTTCTATTTCTATGTATTTGAGAAGGAAATTTGTATTATTTTTATTATCAAGCAAAATGGAAGATTTTCCCATGTAGGGGGGAAAAAGGAAATCCCACCAGAGAACAAGACAGAGTCACAAACTATCCATCTCTGACGTTCTCGCTATCTTGTCCATGGTAGGAATGAAGTGGATGCTGTGGGGTGAATTTTGTTGTTGTTTTTTAGTTAAGCATGTCAAATGGTGTCCCATTTAAATTGCCTACCTTCCTCAAGTTCAGACCCAAAGCCTGAAATTTCTTTGCAGTGATTCCAGAGCTTAATCTGACTCTTTCTATTGCCTGGCATTGCCTAACTTTTATTATATATACATATATGTTATTATATATTAACAAGCTATTTTACAATATATATGTATATATATAATAGCTTGCTATTCCAAACCTTGATTAAGTTTACAGTTGTCTCAGTAAAATATAAATGCTCCTCTAAAAGAGGATAATCGATAAATACCGTGGGTCTCGACCTATCTAGAAGGTAAGTCATATGTGTAGTGGCATATGACTTTACACCTTTAATCCTGTCTCTTGGGAGGAAGAGATAGATGGATCTCAGTGAGTTCCAGACCAGCCATGGTCTACATATTAAAAAACAAAAACAAAGCCACTGGAACGTAAGCCTCTGGGCATGCCGGTGAGGGATTATCTAGATTGGGGTCATTGAAGTTGGCCTAGCTGCCAGACTGAACGAAAAGGGAAAAGAGCTGAGCCTAGCATTCTTCACTCTCCACCCCTTGACTGGATGCAATGTGAGCAGCCGCTCCCTGATTCAGTCACCTTGCCTTCTCCACCAGGATGGGATTTATTTCCCCAAAATAGACCCTGTGTCCCTTAAACCACTTCCTGTCAGGTCCTCTGTCCCAGCACCTAGAAAAGTGACTGATACAAGGGTCCCTGCTCCACTCCTTTTCCTCAGTTTTCCTCTTCACTTCATCTTTCAGCCTCCTTCATCTTCCTCCTCCTTCTATACATTCTCTGACAACTAACAGATTATTATCTAATGGTCTTTGTTTAAAATATGAGCTGTTGAGGGAGCAACAGAGATGGAGGTAAAGAACCAAGGATCACAGAGTGTAGATACCCAGGTCCCAACTCAGTCATTACGTTCCCCACACACCTTCTACTCCCCCTTCTCCCTCTCCTCCTCCCTTACACACACACACACACACACACACACGCACGCACACACACGTACTATTTGCAAATCCCTACACTTTACATGATGCATTATTCTCTTTCCAAACTTAAAATGTAACTAATTTTAGAACAATTCTGTTTGAAAAAAAGATAACTTGCATTCCTCTTACTCGTCTTGAACCTGGTTTTGTGGATTGTCCTGGTAGTGGTCAGAGTCTGATTGCTTTTGGTCCGGATCCCGAAAGCCAGTTTCTCTGTTTTTATCTCTATAATACGCATCCTGGAAAGAAAAGAAAAATAGTATGGACATGAAAAATGACATGGACAGATGACGAAAACAGTGCTAAGCAAAAGAAGCCACACACAAAAGAGCATGATTCCATTTGTGTGAACTTCTATAGCAGGAAGCCTCAGTGGCTGTTCTCAAGGTGGTACAAGGCAGGCTCGGAGGGTGGTGATGGCTTGCGTGTCAGTGCAGGAATGAGTTTTGTGTGTTTGTTCCTTGTTCAAAACTCATCTACTGTGGGCTTCACTGTATATAAACTGACTTGACTTTAAGTGAAGACTTTAAAACCTCATCCTACATCATCTCTACTCCCAGAATAAAAAAATCTAAAGCATGTTCCAAACAAGAATAAAACCCACAGGAAGTAAAACTCTAATCAGTGTATGTCCTCAAAAAATACTAATGACAACTGACATCTCTAGGTTGAGAGAGTTCTTACCGTGTGCCAGGCTCTTAGCAAAGCTGTTTTGTTTTTGTATACCTGCCAAGTTTTAAAAATCAGGATCCTACCATTAAATTGGCAAACTTATTGTCCCCATGTGGCCAATAATTATATGGAAATATAAAAGTTTACAACTTCCCCTGGGTCTGTAGAGAGTGCAGGTTTCTGTCCAGTTTGGTTCTCACCTAAGTGGAAACCCCCAGCTCCTGGTTCCCACTCAGAACAGCTCATTCTAACTACATCTGTTTTCATTAGGAATCTATACAAAACCATTTAAACATTTGGAAGTAAAATCACTGGCTGCCATGGTATATAATATGACTACACTCAAGAGTGCATGTACTCCCTCAAGAGTACATGGATTGGAAGCTTGGACCTTAGTGTGTCCAGATGACAGGTAGGATCTGATGGGAGAAGCTATTAGAACATGGGAAACTAGAAGTTCTCATGAGACCCTGGCTAATTCTCAAGAGAGTCACTATGAAGGAGCAAGCCTGGCCTCTCCCCATGTTCTGGCTTCCTGTCCTGCCATGTGATCACTTCTTCCCATATACATAATGTTGTCCCCTGAAGGATCCCTAAAGTAAATACACTTATTTGGAAATTATCCAAACTGGGTGAGCTTGTTGTGGCAACAGGAAACACAATGGGACAGATACCTTATATGGTACATACTGTCTTTCCAGTCTGTGTTCCAACTGTCTAAAAACTGACACTGACCTATGCATGTTACCAGTACCAGGACTAAGTGAGAACACTTTGCTTAATTTTCCTATCTTGGAAGTTCCAATTTTATTATGCTGCATCACCCCTGAGCATCCTTACCTGAGCAGAGGGGTCCTTGGCCTCCATAAGTTTTAACATGTTTACAGAACTGAAAGAATTCTCCAGCAAAGGCAAAAGTCGACCCTTGATTGTTTCCACACCCTCATTACGTCCTCCTAAGAGAATGTACATGGCAGATCAGCAGGGTGGGGGAGGGATCTCAGCCAGAATACACACACACACACACACACACACACACACACACACACACACACACAAAGAGCAAACAGAAAAGGAGAGATTTTAAGGGGTGGGGAGGCAGAAGCTGCTCTCACCTTCTTGGGCTGTCACTGTGAGGATCCCAAAGAGTTGTGCCTGCACTTTGGCAACTTGTTCGATGAGTCCAATGCAATAATTTAGATTTTCATCACAGGAATTTGTCTGTAATGTCAAAATAGAAGACATCCGTACATTTCCTAGTTACTAGAACCCACTGCAGATAGACACGAGGCTGTGTAGTCCAAAGGCTACCAGGATCTGACAGCAATTGCTGGGTACTATCAGAATAGATTCCTCTGGACACACAGCTGGGATTGATCTGTTTGGCCCAGGAAACTCTGTGATTGGGTTCAACTCATGGTCTTGGAAGTGGTAGACACCAGGCCTGGCAGAGAAAATCTCTTGAGCAGCCCTGTTTCTAGATTTCCAGATCTTCCAGCTAAACGCAGAGGAAGCATTAGGAATCTCTAAGGGGAAGGGGTGTGGAGGCATAAACCCCCCAGAACTGTTGACTTGATAAACACTTGCCCTGAACTGTTTTGTGGGTGTTTAAGCCTTTGAGGTTTGAGAAGCTGCTTTCACAGCAATAATTCTACTCAGTAATTCTACTCCTAAAGGAAATAAAAAAGTCCCCTTATGAACTGAAGAGACTGTTTACACCCCAATACATATGGCTGCCTCATTTATCTGCTGTGCCATTAATCTTGTACATAAAGTTCAGTTTTGAATATTATACGTGCCGAGTTTACAACTCCTTTAACAGCAGGAAGGTATTGTGCTAGTGGTGCGGACAGGAATACGATGGGAAGCATGACAAAATAGGCCCATAGCCACTAGTAGATAGATGACATTAGGGAGTGCCAGGGACATTGAGTCCACTGAAGAGCTGCTGTATTGAAATGCTGGGGAAGGGTTCTGAAGTCGGAGAAGAAAGTAAGTCAACTAGGTGGTTTGGGGGAAAGAGATGGCCCTACTGGATGTGGAACTCTTTCATTGCTGAGGATGGAACACTAGAAGGCCATGTGGGCCTCTTGGTTTTTATTCTGCTTTGGGTATTATTTAATGTTCATAGCTTAACTAGAGTTTGCTGCAGTGAATATTCATCTTAAGGTTTAAGCCAAAATTCCCTGGTACCAATAAAACCACTTTGGGGTTTACAGGAATGTGTTTAGCAACTGACCCAAATCCAAACCACACATAACAAGATACAGGATACATTCAGATGTAGGTTCAAAAACAAACCGACCTAGATTTTTTAAAATCTGATATTTAGAAAGTAATGTTACAAATTATTCTAATTATTATTATTATTACATAATAATAATAGTAAAAATCCCAACCATGGAACAGATTGAGGTGGTAAGACCCAGAAAGGCTGGGAAACATTACTTGGCTAGTTGTAGTCACATTCAGACCTAGAACCCAGGCCAAGGCCTGACTTCTCAGCCCGCTTCTCTCCCTGTTGACTGCTCTATGCTCTGGGTGGAGCCCAGAGCCTCCTGTTCAAGGCACTTGCATCGAATGTCAGACAAATTCAGCATGCAGCTGTTGGAGCCAGGGTGGAGTGTGATTAATAAAACTTGGAGTGTGCTTCTGGGTGTGGCAGAATGCTGGTGACACAGTAATTTCTTACAAAACACTAGATAACCCCTCCTGGAAGCCTCTCTGGTGCCTTCCTGTGTGCCATGGTGACCAGTACGCCTTGGTAACACCTCCTGGAAGCCTCTCTGGTGCCTTCCTGTGTGCCATGGTGACCAGTACTCAAACAAAGGGCGCAACTTTTACAAACTTTCCCTTTTCCTATACTAAATTCCAGGTGTAGGTTTAGAAAAGTTCGCTGTGATACGATCCTGGGTGTTGTGAAAAGTGAGAACCTTCCGGAAAGGCAGGGAATGGGAAGGGTAGTGTATAAAATGACTCCAAAGCAGGCAGAGAAAATGAGAGTTCCTGCCGGCCAGACTCAGCCCCTCTGTTGCTAGGGCCACCGGCGTCCATGGTTACCCAACACAGGTTAGCGCTCTGAGGCTGCCAGAATCGCCCCACCCCGGGTGAAGAGTTCCGATTGACAGGGGACTTCCTTCTTTGATCTGGGTAGGAGTCTGAGATCCCCGTTAGGGTCTCAAGAGCTTTGCGAAGCGACCTCCCGGACGCCAGCCCGGGGCCGAGGCTATGCGGGGGAAACTAGGCAGAGCGAGCCTGGGGTCTCCCACCGGGACTCACGTTGTATTCCTTCGCCCAGTAGTTGACTTTTTCCTGCAGTCCTCGAAAAGATTCGCTTTTGGCCAGCTTCCTCACGTTTTCTGCCATCGCGC